GGTTTTTCCGTGCTGGCAGAAGTACGAGGAGCTTTGTGGGATTTGAAATATTCGCGTGAAAAGCGGACGGAAATGGCTCGCGGGGAAACAGCTCCTTTGAATTTGAAACTGTTTGCACCACGGCTCGAAACGCCTCTTTGTATTCTGCTACGTTCAAAGAAGACGGCCAACGAAACGAAGTTATACGGGTCTTCGTAAAGCGAAACCCCTTTGTATTTTCCATGCGTCAGACGAAAATAATGCTCTCTTTTGGAAAATATCTGGATAATACTTCAGTTGGAAGGCTCAGGTTGTCGAACACGAACGAAATTCCGACTCGAACAAGAGGGATGCTTAACGCGTAAATTCTCGAATTTGTCGAGAACAATGGGACGAGTTAAACGAGTTTTCTTCTCTCTTTCCGTTCATGCTTTGTTCCTCGAATGAATTATAACTCACGCAATACAACCGGCCGCCACAAAATTATTAATTAAGAAGTACCGTCGCGAGTACCGTCATTAAAACGAAGATTACGTTTTAATCGCCGTCTTCGAGTTTAGCAAGTTCCAACGTGAATCATGGTTATTAGAATCTAGAGGGTTTAAGGCAAAACGAGAAGTTATTACAAGACGAATTCTAGGTCGTACATTTCAACTTGTCGTATTACGCCGCTGCATTTTCCAATTTAATTGTCTATCACGGGGATGAAGTTTCTCAGGGAGGATCTAAATCCAGCGAAACGAAGGTTCCTCTCAGGGGCAGAATTACGGGGGTGCAATTCGTTCGATGAATCCCTCGGAGACGATCGCTCAGGTTTTATTGCTCGAATTTCGCGAGAAATAATTAAAGGGCAAATTAAATGCTCTCACCCTCGCCAAGCGTCAAGGAAACGCGACAGAATGAAACGGATATACGATTCATGGCATTAGAATGTGCATTTGTTTCCTCTGGTATACAGGCTGATTTATATTATTAGTTCCGACACGAAAACGTCACGTTTGAACAAAGACACTTGTTATTTACATCGTCAATTCGTGTCGAACAGCTGGATCGTGGGACAATGTCAAAAATTTATATTGTTCAATGGTGCTGACAATCAGATGGTGCTGACAATAACCCTTTCGTGGAATCTACGACTAATCAAACAGTAATTATTTCGTATCTGGATCGATAGTATAAATCTGCGTTATTTAGCGCGTTTCACGTGGGACCAATTCAATTTCACGGCGACCGGTGCATCAATTAACGCGTACAGCGTCGATATTGCGAGCTCCTATTTCGAAATAATATCCCACGCGATATCAGACGTTCCAAGGATGATTGATTGTCAACTACCATTATGTAACTCGTAAAATATACTCGGGTAGCATATGCTGCGAGTAATTTTCCAATTTAAGAGTTTCCCTTCGATTTACGATCAAGTTTTCAGCAATCTTAGTTAGTAACGTTAGTTAGTAATGTTATAAATCAGTTTGCGCGAATATATTCGCGATGCTGGCACGAATTTTTGCCAAGCAAATTATTTATGGTATCATAGTTTAGTGACGTAATATCCTCGTGCTGTCCGGTTTTTGGAAAGGAATGAAACAAAGGGTATTTCTCCCACGCCCCTACGCTCGTACCTCGAGTAAATCCAGCGAACCGTTTCGAAATTGAAAACCGATGCCAAGTTGAAGAGGTAAAGAGCAACCGTTTTATTTCTCATAACTTTTCCGTGGCCCGTATGAGAAATACACAAAATCGAAATTGAGTTTCACTTTAAAGACAGCCGACTACGCTTCCCGCCTTCGACTCTATACTATACGGAAGGTTTTCGGTGTAGTTCCGTCTTTTACGATGCTAGCATGACTTTTATTTTGGTACAAGGATTACGTGGGAGGCTTTCCGAGGCAAGGAAAATCTCAGACAACTCGTTGGTGAACTATCCTGGTCGCAAACCTTTCAAAAACTACCCAAATGATTGTGATCGTTTCCGTCTTCTCGATCGACATACAGAACGTATGAAAGTGATTGGACGGAACATTTATTTTTACTTACCCGTCGCATGACGCGCAGAGAGAACGATGAAGTCTTCATTTTGGTGGTAATCCTGGCAGACTTGCACGATATGCGTCTAGATGTGGTTGCCCTTGGCCTTGGCGGTGCTCGTCGTCGTTCTCCTCGACGATATGGAGTCCAAGCTACGTGTAAGAGAGTTGTTTCGAACTCGATAGACGCGAATGGTCCACGGAAAGTGGGGAGGCTCGTCCGAACAGCCGTTACGGGTGGCTCGGGGCCACAACTACAGGTGGTCGCGCGTTGTTGCTAGACCTTCCCGCCGATGTTTCGCTTCGTGAAACCGCTACGCAGGCTCGTGCACACGGAAAGAGGCGCTGCCGCGCGAAATCACGATCTACCTGACCAAAATCGGTGTTGGGGGAAAAGGAAAATACCGTCGAAGGGGATGTTCCTTTTCTGACAGCCGTGCAGCCTCTCCTGGAGCAGCTGGTGAAACTTTGTTCTCGAAGATTCGATGCCGTCGAAGCGGAACAGTTGAAACAAAAGAGCGAGACGCACAGAAAAAAGAAAGGTAGCAAGATCGAAACGCGACGAAGAGGAAACGTCTTCAGGACGTTTGAAAGATATACACGGAAGGACGTTGACGCGACTCTGGCTCGAGTAGCGTCTGACCGGTTGTCCCGTCTGGCTGGTCTCCGAGCAGCCGAGGTGGAGCGAGAAAACCACCCCGGCGCTTTCTCGCGCACACTCGTCGCGACGCCATAGCGGTGTACCCCAGGGCCGCGCCTACTTTACGGACGCCTAGACCAGAAGTGCCAAGGTCGAAGTACCAAGGCCGTGGAACATGCACTATGTCTTGAGAAAGTATATCCTAGTATAAAAATGTGAAATACTTCGCACTGCAACATCTAACGCACTCAGAACTCTGATACAGAGAACTACCCAAGTGTTACACTCACTTATTAATGAAACTTTGCCAGCTTGTAGAGCTCGTCGAGCTGAATACGCCTATACCCCGTTTTGTGAGCAGACGGCTAATTGTTTAAAAGATATTAATAATTAAAGTTAGTTACTACTTACATTGAGAAGTATGACAAACTCACACATACAACTCGCAATCTAGATATCCACGGTTCAAATCCTTGGTTCCCAACATTTTTTTTTCTTTTTTAATGATAATTTGTCTCTTTCTGAATAACTATTACATAAAAATTATCATAAAAAAAAAAAAAAATTTTTGGGAACCAAGGATTTGAACCGAGGACCTTCAGTTTACGAGTCATGGATCCGCTCCGTGGTTATACACATGACTCGCAATCTAAAGGTCCTCGGTTCAAATCCTGGGTTCCCAATTTCCTTTTTTTTTTTTTTTTTTTTTTTTTTTTTAATGATAATTTTTATATAATCCTTTCTTCGGGGAGGTCCAAACTGTGCCCATGCTTGTACGATGGGTAAAAAAATAGAGCATGGATCAGGTTCTCTTTTACTATCGTTAAAGATTTATTTCATAATATTACACCAACAACTATTATTGAATTTTTATATAATAATAATAATAATAATAATTAATAATCAATAATAATAATTAATAGATAATAATAATCAATAATAATAATAATAAAGACAATAATAATTCTTTTTTTTACTGCATTGAAAAATACGAATGAACGCTTACATACATACATTAATTAATTGCAGTGTCTTACAATTAATGTAATAATAGCCTAAAGACGCGACGCGCGTTAGAAAATATTTCGACATTGTTCGCCATATATATATATAATTTTTTGTATATATATGTATATATTGAACTATATATATATATCATTTCTTTTTCTCTCTCTTCTCTGTTCATCGCTTTTCGATTTGGGTCGTGATCGATCCGTCGAAACTTCGCCTAGTCCCGCGATCGGCAAATTGCTACAGAACTCATATTTCTGTCCCTAAAACACCTCAGTTTATCCTCGATTTTCTATCCGTCGTCGACACGTGGAATGCTCGATTGCGACAAAGTTCGTTGATCGATCTGACGATTCACGGGATCGTAGTCCCACTTTACAAAGCGAAACGATTCACACAGGGAGCGCGGTTACGAGAGAAATCTTTCTTCGCGAAGATTTCGTATATATTATACTATGGTACGTTAAATACACATCAACTTCTTGTATCTTCTTCATCTTCTTCTTTCATTTCCATATCCGTTCCCGTCGCGTTCTTCGCTCTTTTCCTTCATTTTCATCATCTTTTTTTTCTACGCAAGAAAGACAAGAGGTACGTTTGTTACAATGATATTCAGGAAACGAAGGTTTCCCGGGGTTTGCATCCACAGACGGTGAAACAACCGGGCGGAGAGTTCAATCGAATACGTGTGTGTGTGTATATATATATATAATATATCTATTTATTTATATATAGAGAGATAGAGATTTATGAATTACGCGATATATTATAATATCATTAATATGCGGAAGAAAGAAGCTCGTTAATCGTTTACAGAGCACACTGAAGAATTGATTTTTTTTGTTTATTTCATCGATTAATAAACTGCAAATTTATTCGCAATGTTATGTTACACGGATGGTATATAACGGCGATAACGGAACAATATATATATATTTTTTCATTTATATTTATTCATTTATTATTTATATATTTATATACTTTGCATTCTGTAAAATATAATAATACGGCGATTGTTGCACGATCGCGGTACACGTGCGACGTTCCCACGTTTTCCTTATCTTTACTCTTCATCTTCTGCTGTTCCAATTTTTTTTCTTTTTCATTCTGTGTTCATTTCGCCACGGTGTCGGGCTACCAAGAGATCTCTTGCTACTTCCGGTGCTGAAACCGGAAGAAGTTAGCCGCCGCTCGATCGGGGAACGACGCCCGTCACCCTGCTCGCATTAATACCCAGACAATGTAGTGACAAAATAGAAGACAAGTAAGTACAACAACTATTGTAGCTTAGATGAGAATCTGTTATTGCCGGGCCTCAGACGCGGAACGTATTTCCCTTTTTATTTTTTTTTTTTCCAAGAAAGGCTCTTTTCGCGTGAATGCTTTTTGCGTTTGGCAGTGACATCTTTGCTTTGGACCAACGATCCACGATAAATTGATGATGCGTCTCGATTAGAAACGAAGAACTTTTGTACTTCAAGAAGGGACACCTTTTTAAAGCACAAAAGATTCTGACGAGGAAAAGAGGAAACAGAACGAAAAATTAGAAAAATTGCCTTTCTACGATCTGCAGAACGACGGATAGATATGTAAGACGCGTGTTAGAAGGATCGTTTGGGCGCTTTTCGAATGTCTGAGGCCACGACAATTGAGGTATTTCTGAACGAACGCTCGCCGTGTCGGATTTTCTCTGTTTCTAACACGCTCGACGAACAGCGGCGCTTCTTACAACGGAGGCTCGTTTTCTCTTCCATTCTCTACGATTAAACGCTATGTTCTTCTTCTTCATTTTTTTTTTTTTGTAATTATTTTTGTTCTCTTATTTTACTTTCTCTCTCTCTCTCTTTCGTACTTTTGATATCTTAACTACCGGAATCATTTCCATCCATTAAATCGAAGACATGCTTTATGTATTTGTATTCGTTTTGTACTTGTACTGTTCAGCAAGGCAGCGTGTTGCACTTTGTTTACAATTACAATTATAGTCGGGCCGTGATTGTCCACGAAAGATTCCACAACGTCGCGAATGATTCTCTCTTTATAATCTTTCACACAGTTTCTATACTGTGCGCGTGTGTGTATGTACGTGTAACCTGTGTATTTCGTTTCATCTCTTTTATTTTATTTTTATTATTCTCTGGACAATGCTGTCACGATGGAGAACGATCTAAGTTAGATGACAAAGTTAGATTACGAAGAATAGAAAATGCTCGATGAAAATGTAGCTACAAGCCAATAAGGAAGGTCGATCTCGTTCGTGTTAATGCTGAACCCAATCTCGTTCGTTTGTTCGTGAAAAGAAAATCGGAAGCTGTTGAAAAGCTTCGCGATCGACTATGCACATGCTCGCAACACGTGGATCCTTTTGCGTTTGACGACGACCCGGTCTATCTCTTACTAATTTCTGCTTCGTATCGTTAATTACGGGACCTAAAATTAACCATTACAAACGGATGGAAACCATCGACGCTTCGTGATCGTGACAAGGAAGTAAAGAAAAAGAAAAAAGAAAAGAATAAATCGCAAGCAACAAAAACTCGAAAGCGAGAAAACGACGGTGTGTTCACGATGTGTGAGCGATTCGCAACAAGTCTGAAAGTTTAACACGACGCAGAGCACTCGCACACATCGCGATCGTTCGATCTCGAAGAAACAAACTATCGTAATCGTGACAGAAACGATAATAATAATAATAATAATAGTAAAAATAATAATAATAATTCTAGTGCTAATAATTATATTATTACAGTAATTGCAATTGTGATAATAATAATAATAATGATGATAATAATAATAATAGCAATAATTGTGATAATGATAATAATAATAATAATAATAAGTATCCAGTAAGTTCTCCTTAACGCGTTTAAACAAAATCACTCTGGAAAAATCGCAGTAACAAATCGAAAGAAAAGAATAAAAATAAAGATTAACATAAAAAATAAAACCAAGGAGAAATCTTACAAAATAGGCCTATATATAATATATATATATATAATATATGTAACTATAATATTATATATATATAGTATTTTATGCGTATCATGTATGTATACGTACATATCTGCATATATATATATTTATGTACATAAAAAGTTAACATAACGTGCCATCGACTCCTCGTCACTATATAATATGTATATCGTACATCTTCGTTCTTTATTTCCTTCCCTCGCGAGACTAACTAATGATTAAACTATCCCTGGTTAATCGATTAATGACAGTAGCACAGTCGTAACCGATGATTAAAACAATTGCTGATAACGTTGAAACAGGCTGAAGAGCCGGAATAGACAAAGTTCATCGTATGATTAATACACTTACGGAGCAGAACGTAAAAGTGATTCCGATGATATCGGGCTGACGGGAGGATCTGTAATCTATAATCTAAGGGATACACTCACAGACGATATGTAGAATCGAATGAAACGATGATATTCGATGCGGTTTAGCGTGCTACCAAAATGAATGAAGACGTAAGTACACGCTCTACTATGAAACGAAAAAAAACAAGGCGCAAAATCAACAGAAAAAGAACAATCTGATATTTGCAAGAGCTTACAATCCCTTTTTTCCAATAAAGAGCGTGTACCTCACTCATGTTTGTTATCTCGCATACACGTGTCATTCTTCTTCTCGCTGAACAATCGACACTCTTATCATCGACCCGTTTCTTTCGTCGTGCTTTTCATACGGGACGGTTGATATCGTTAAACGCTTGCTCCGAACATCAATGAGAAAACTTGCGAATAAATATAAGAGCCAGAAAAATATGTTTCTAAAGAAACGAGTCGACGATCCGTGACAATAGCATTTTATGAAAATTTGGCAAGAACGAAGCGGGGCGGTACTTCGTACGCGGAAGAACGACGGGTGGATAGGTGTGCCTTAACATTTTCTCTTCTATGGGTTGTTCTTTGTCGTGTTCTATTCGGTTTTGAGCGACAGAAGTGAAAAGAGGACGCACGCTAAGTGAATTTGTTAGTGTTACGTGATGAGCGGATGTGATCGACCGTTGTTATTATTTTTAATCCTAGCTTCTCTTGTAAATGCGATATTCACTTAAAAATGACGCAATATTTTTTTTTTTCGCTTAATAACTATCATTACAGTTAATTATTCGATAGACTGTAGAGATATCATTTCTTCTTCGTCTTATCGTTTTTCACAATTTTTTTATGTTTTTGCAATTTTCCCCTTCCGATAAATTTAAAAACTTTCGTAACAATTAATTTATACTTAAGGTTCTGTTAATATTAATTATGGCACAATATAAATATTATATTTAAAGTCTTTTTGAAGACATAATAAAAATAAATCTAAGTAGTCTTTCTCCTATATGCTCGACGTTATTATTTTTTTTCTTTCGTTCATTTCATTTCATTTTTTCCCCTTTTTTTTTTACCATAATTACACATCCCTAAGCAGCTTTTGTTTCTGTTTTCGATTCGAAGATGCATTTCTTCCTCAACCTCAAGTTTCTTTTTTCCCTTCGTAGTTCCACTTTTGTTTTTTGATCCCCCTTTTTTGAAAACAATGGAAATTTTGCTTTTTTTCGATCGAAACCGAACGATATTCGTATCAAGAATAATTATATTCGCCACATTTTCTCGGACCTTCGCGATACCACAAGAATTTTCTTCTCGAGCCAAAAAATAATAGAACAGTTTTGATACTCGGTCGAGATCAATAAAATAAATAGTATCTTTGTATCTTTCGTGTAAAATTGTATTTTTCTATTCGATTTTCCAAAGGTGGATACCGATCCGAAAGTCCGAGAATTTTTCACAATTTTCCCGATGCTCTTTGGTAAGACAATATCACATGATCAAGAAAGGAAAAAAAAATAGTTTATACCAATCGAAAAAAAAAACAGTCTAATCAGTCCATTTCTCCCTTGTACGCAGGGATTTAAAAAAAAAACAAACAAACAAAAAAAGAGTCTGGAAACTAGTAAAAATAAATTTTAGTCCTTAATTAAACGTGGACACGTTTAAAAATTATAAAAATCAGCCTTCTCGAAAGTAAATTCGCGTATCAAAGTATTTCGTCACAGCGCCAGGAAATTAATTTGAGCACCGCCAGCTGTTAGCTCAACTCATGTGCGATGCAAGTCGTTGATATACATATTTAAAGAAAAAGAAAAATTAAACGAAACCGAGTGACAACTAACATTGTTAACCCTCTACGTACGTTTGCGTGTTAAGACCAACGGCTATAATAATGTTTCAAACGGAAGCTAGAATCTATGAATGTATTCGTTGTCGTGAAAAACTCGTGGAACACGTCGTTTGACAGAATCCTGATCTACAAAACGATCATGATCATGTCCACCATTCGACGAGTTTTCCCTCACAATCGATCCGGTTAGATATTCGACAGTTATCGGTTTGGAGCGGTATAAAAAGGTCTGCTGTGTTGGTTTCGTCGGTGCGATTCACGATCGACAAGAAAAACGAAAGTACGTGAATAGAAATAGCTTATATATCTCGAGACAACAATAAACCACATATCATCGTCCACACAAAGACGCAGAGCCTTTCCAACGTCCAGTGTTCTCACACACAATCGCACCCCAATGCCAAAATACGATATGAACGCCTATGCCGGTCCCAAATTACGATACCTATATCCCTCTCTGCGATACCATCGTCAGAGGTACAGACGTTACTTACTGATATCAATATTTACACGCAAGTAATATTTAGAATGCAAATAAAAATAGATAGTTTAAAATATTTTCTTTCTTTCATTCTCTCGTCCATTCACATTCTCTCCCACATCATCCGCAATCATCCTGTATTCTACCCCTTGCTCTCTGTTCTTTCTTTCTTTCATTCCCATTTAGAACTTCTAACTTGTGTTTTCTTGTATTTTTTTTTTTCATTTTTGTTGTTTTAATAGCATACGAGACAAAAATTCATGCATTAAAGTTCGAAAAAGTTCCTCGATAATATTTTGTATAATATTCGCTTTAAATCCTAAAACGATTAGTGGTAGTAATGACGTTGATAATATTCGTTTCTCGATAGAAGATGCGACGCGCCTCTAACTACATTTCCCTTTTCCCCTTTTCTCGTGTAAATAGTAAAAGACCTAAAGTTCCTTGCTTCTCTTCTCTTTTTTTTTTTTTTCGAAGTTCGAAGACGTTGGCACATTGGAATAGATTCTGTGTATGTGTGTGTCGTTTTGTGTATGTATAATGTATAATATATAATTTTTTTCATTTTTTTTTCTCTTTTTTGTAATTTTTCGATTCAACACCGTGTCATCGTACAGTGGGTCGAGTACCCTGAAGAGATATGTTATATAATATATCAAAACACTGCGCTTCGTTCCTCGATTCGTGGCGACAGCCGATCGCGAGAAACGTCTAGGAGCGAGTGGTTCGCGCGTCGTCCTCGGGAAAACTCCTTACACGCTTTGGTTTCGCTTAAAGAAGAAAACAAAAAGAGATACTAATTAAAAAAAAAAAGAGAAATAATCGTAGTATAACAGTCAAATCCACTTTGGTATCGTACCGATCGTTAAAATTTCGAGCCTACAAGAGTAGGCTCAACGCGACATCTTTTTTCCACGAGATTTTCCCGGAAAATTTTCCACGACACGCGGTTCAGTTCTTCGCTCGTTGCTCCCATTGAATCGAACACGTGTTCCTTGAATTTTAATGAAAACGGATCAGCGGTCGCCTGGACAATCGCAGAAACTCCGTACAGTATTCGATCTTGAATTTTCTCGGCGTAAAAGTCTCGTCTCGTGTCTCGGTATTTTTCTCTTCTTGTCTCTTTTTTCTTTTTCCGTTCGTTTTAATTTACAATATTAACTTACACAACACCGAACATCGATCTAATTCCGTATACGTGTTTTTGTTTTCTTCGTTATACCTCTAACATTTTCGTTTCTAGTATACCTCAACTGAAGAACATCACAGAATTTCCTCGATATTAATTAACCAATTAGTTTCTTTTTTTTTTTTTCGCTATACAGTACGCAATTTTGCACACACACATGCCGGCAATCATAATGTGGAAAGGTGGTAAATATTTTAGTTTGTTTCTCTTTTATTCCCCGCGCAACCCAACCCTGATTACTTGTTCCCCTTTTTCATTTTGTAGCGCCAAATACATATCTTGATACTAGTCCGACGTTATATCACAGAATTATAAAAGGTTTCCAAAATGACTAGGATAATTTTCACTAACGAATTATATTTACGCTTTTCCCATGTCGAAAAGAAATTTTTTTTTTCGAAAAGCAAACACGTCCGCACGTTGATCTCACCCACCCCTTCCTTTTTAAAATCATTTTCTCCACATTATGCTTTGACCGGCCGCGGAAAAGATAGTTTTTTCTTTTCTTTTTACCCCTACGTAATGTATACGCAATTATTTTAAAAACTCCCGCCATCGGAAGACACCTAAAGCTAAAATCGTATTTCTCGTTCACGGTATACTTCGTGTTTCGAAGATATGTTTTTGGAAAACCTTATCCCTCTCTCTCGTTCTTCGTATTCTCTCTTCTCTTTTCTGTCTGTTTATCTCTGTGCTAACCCCGTCGTTTAAAGCCCGAGAAGACGCATGGGCACGTAAATTCTACTCTTCTCGTGTCGTTAAATATCTTCCCTTTCTTCTTTCTTTTTTAATCCCTCTCTTCGCTACTAAGAAACCTAAGAATTAAGACGTAGACGTAATTTGTTTTATCATTTTTTCCCTCGATAATTTGTACTTGCTCGTTAGTTATAATGGCATTTCCTTTGTTTTATTATTCTTTTTTCGTTTGTAACCCCCCATCCCTTAATTATGCGATAAAACATCAACTTTATTCTTTTTTCATTTTTCTTCTTTTTATACTGAGTTCTAAACCTGAATATGTTGCACGATGAACATCTTTTTTAGGGTTTCCTCTCGCTTGTACGTTCGTTTACAGCATGGATGCGCATCGAAGTTTCGAAAAGAACAGGGCAGTGCTTCGACAGTCTCGCGCGAAATTCTTTTTAGAACCTCTTCTCATCCCCGTGTATCTATGCTTCCTTTTTTCTCTTTGGCCTAATTGGATCCCTCTGTCTTTTTCTACGACCCTTCGAACGACACGAGCACGAAACACGAAGAGAAAACGAAAAAGATCGAGACATGGAACGAAACGTTGGTTGCTGCCGGTTCCACAGGCAGACCAAGGGTCTCCCGAATCCTCTAATTTATCCCCTTACTCGTAATATTGCACATTCGCCAATTGAGACGCGTATAATTGTGACTCGTAAACGCGCGAATCTCGAACGAAACGAAAATGAGAGGAACGCCTGAGCTTTTTTATCACTGCCCTGCTCCGACCGAGGTTCTATCTACGTCGAACTACACTCTGTTTCTCCTTTCTTTCATTCATTCACCCCTTTATAAAACCTGAACAAGAGAATATCATCGTTATCAATATCGTACGAATATAATATATATATATGTATGTATATATATGTACAGCTCAAAATATTCTTATTTTTAAAGAGTTAAAAATATAGTCTGTAATTTACGCGCACGACGGACCTGTACACGTGTAAGAGCCCAATATCTAACTTCTACTTGCACTTTTTTTTTCTACCGCTTCTTCTCTCCCCTTTAACTCCACGCAACGACTCCCTCTAAATCCTTCCCCTTTTTGTTTCTCTTATCCTGCTCTACTTGGCCTATTTAGCTAATTTTCTTACTCGCCCCCTTCGTTTCTCGATTGCCGAAAACGCTGAATCCTTTCTAACCCCTCTCCCTATTCCCGAAATTTGAGCACATATTTTGTAGACTTTGTAATTGAATTTCATTTAGGCCTAAGATACTCGATCTACAATTCCCCCACCCCCCTGACATCCGAGAATACTTATGCGTATCGCGTGTGTGCGCATAAAAAGTTCCAGCGACAGAGACGTACACTCAACACCCACATACGCACACTTTCTTTCTTACTTTACACGCATACCGTACGTACACACATATACGCGTTAACATCTATGTACAACACGATGTTTCGATCATTCCTGATACATATTTTCCTCAATCTTCTTTCCCCAATCGCCACCCTGTCCCTGGTTCTTCGTGGTTTCTCTGCTAAACGATTCGAGATCGCTGCTTCGATCGTTAGCAAGATAATCTTGTAAATTGACATGTGTCGTGGGACTGGCCGAGACTCGTACGACCCAACATGCGAAACAGGCAAGGCCACGCTCGTTTTCCGAGAAGATAAGTACTATTACTTTTGAACGATATCGTAATTATTCCAAAAGGATCCGTAAGGATTCGTAGCTAATTAGAAAGTCGAATTTCGTGATATAGAATTTGTAAAAAAATGGGCGCGTTTGCCTGTAGAAACGTTGCTGACAGTCTCTGTCGAGTCAGTCCCTCGGTAGAACGCGTTAAAGCGACGCGACGGTCACACATTCGAGACCTCGTCGAAACGGTCCGAGCTACTCGCTTCCGGTCAGCGGGACTGGAAGCCAATGCAATGGAATGTATTCTCAGTTCTTGCACGCGCGCACGCGCTACGGCAATCATTTTCTTTGAAACCCAACGAAACGTATCGTGGGAATATTTCGAGATCGCGTGTCTCTCAGTCGATTTCCTTCTTCTTCTTTTTCTTCTTCTTCTTAATCTTCATCTTCTTTGGATTAATCGCAGTCTTGACTCGAGGAGAACTACAAAACGACGACTACAAGGTGTAGGAGGGTGTGAGAAGCGTGACCCTCGGCCGATGGAAGAACATTGACGAGCGAGGGGTGGTAGAGAATCGGCAATGAAGAGCCGATCGATTCGAGATCGATATTCTAACGAACGATCGACGCGTGCCTCGTATAGGATTTGTTCGATCGATCTTCAGAGAACGCGCAACGACTCGACGAATCGGAAACGCGTATGTCGTCGCTCTGTGACGCATCCAGACGCATCGCAGCGTACTTTGGTCCAGGAAGAATCGAGGATAACCGATCGTAACGATCCGTGACGATATCGAACGACGAAGAACCGGATGGTGGCAAGGACGTAAACAATGACGATGAGAATACGAGGATGCAGTGAGTCCAGGGGACGGGGAGACTGTAAGACGGTTCCGACATTTTCATTGCGGCTGCTGTTGCATCTGGCCCTGTTGCATGCTGCCTAGAACGTTCTTCAACGTCGTGGTCTTCAACAGCCTCTTGAGCATTACGCTGGAGCCACGATGCTGAAGGCTCTTGTGCGTCGTCAGCGAGTTCTTGGTTCGATACCTGCGGTTGCAGAACTCACATACGTAGAGGGTATCCGATTGCTCGTGCTTATCCTGGAAATGACGCTTCAGGGAGTAGTAGCATGAGAAGTTGCGACGGCAGTACGGGCATTCCTGAGGCTCGTTGATACCACCCGCCGTTGGCGGTGGCATCCGGTACATGGCAGAGGGAGGCGTCGACGGTGCTGGATGCATCCCGTTGCCCGTACCTGAAAATCGTCCGTCTCCGGTCAGAAAATTTGCACCTCGGATCGTAATCCGGTACTGATCGTCGCGCGAGAACAGTTTCGCCAAGGAATATCTTTCGTGGAAAGAGAAATTACAAACAGCGTGAACCGGAGGTGTAAAGGGGTTAAATTTCGACGCTCTCCTAGGATTATAGCTTTCAAGCGTGTAAGCCGTCCAGCTGGACGAGTGGTTAACGCCTGAAAGCTTTGAGGAGCTTTAGTTGGTGCGCGAAATCCTTGTTCGTTCGAATTACGACACTGTTCTCGCGCGAGACTGCGAAATACACGTTATTCCCTTAGGGCTCGATCTTTGTCGAACGTCCGAGGGGAAACGGAAAAGAGATAGGAGAAAGGAGAAAGGAGAAAGATGTTCTCGCGTATCGAGGAGGAACGCGTTAAATCAGTCTGCCAGGAATTTCAACGTTAGAGAACGTCCAGCGTGATGGTGCCTCTAGTAATTAGCTGGATCCTCGAACGTTCGATGTAGTTCTCGATTAAAGTTTCCCATTCCCTTCTCGAGACGACCTCGGCTCGGTTTTAACTCAACCCTACCAGCTGTCTCGGGATCAATTAAGGATTAGCACAGGTTAACTCACTCCCTTCCCTCTATCTCGTTCTCTCATTTTTGCATCGAGTAGTACTGTTGCCTCGTCGATCGATATATCGGATCAAATCGCGTAACCGATCCATTCTAGGCACTGGAAGTATCGTTAAAAATTGATCGAATTGCAATTAGTTGAGAGTAAGTCGAGATGAAGAGGACCAAAACCACCATGCCAGACGCGTCGTGTTCGACATCGGGTTAGAGAAACGCTTAAAAATTACATTCCTCATTGCCCGGTGGTTAAGTGGTCGCGTGAAGAAATAGAAGAAAACAAAAGGATGTTAATTAAACGCATTAGAAGTGTGAGAGGCCACGTAGTCGTGCAATAAATGCGTGAAACAAGCCACGTACTCGTTTTCTTCTTTTCAAACAACGAAAAAAGAATTGTGACGTGCAAAAAAGAAATGCGTTCGTGCTGATGCACGTTAGTTAGTAACTAAAAGATTAATACGCGGTAAAATGAACATACTATGTCTATCGTTAGCAGAAGATGTGACTCGCGCACTGTACTCATGCAGCGATGCAAATAATTTGAGTTTTCGAAAAAGAAAAAAGAAAAGAAAAAATATTGTAACGATCGACGATTCATCGACGATTGATTGACCGCTCTGGAAGCTGGCATTCCGTGTTAGCCGCGTTAAGCTGTGGAACGAGCCATTAAACGACGCTACATATCAGCATGCACACAGAACATCGAACATTGAAAAAGCCACGACAAAAATAAAATTTTATTGAAAGAAAAAAAAAATAGAAGAAAAACAGAATTAAAAAAAGAGGAAAAAATAATGCACGTACATGTAAACAGGGTGACGGTCACACAACGTAACATAAAAAAAAAAAGAAAAAGAGAAAGGAAAGAAAAGAAACATAAAGTAGGCGGAAGGAGTTGAAGGGGTGTTAGTAAGGAAGAACCTGAAGCGTAATTATACCCTGACGTTCGATCGTTTGGCCGACGGAGAGCAAACAAAAATTCGGCCTACTCGTAAATTAAGCGTAACCCCATCGTACGCGATTGGATCGGTCAATCGAAGGATTATTCTATGATCGACGATCGGTTCCCGGTTCGGTTTGGCTCGATTTCTGTCTCCAGCGTGGTTGCAGGCACGCTGAAGGACAAAACTGGACGCATCGATCCCGAGTCACCGACAGGGGGTATAACGGAGCTGAGAATACCGGAAGAATTCGATCGGCGAGTGTACGGTACCGAAGAGAACGAAGGACGACGGGAGACGAGGAAAGAAAAGCAGTTCTGAGGAATGAGGAGGATACGAAGGGAACGACCGATGCTGGGATGAAAGCTCGAACCGTAAGAAGAAGAAGAAGAAGCTGAAGAAGTAGAAGAAGAAGAAGAAGAAGTAAAAGGGTCGTTCCACGTGGGAGTTGAGACCGGTTTCTTTGGCATGCATTTTCAGTGAACAGAAAAGGAAGGGAATAAAGTGTACGCGAAGCCGAGGTCGTAACGAAGCAACCAGGATTACACGATCGTAACCTCCTACGATAAAGTAGGTTAAATCGAAGGGTGAACGATGTTAAGAGTGAAAATCAGAAAAGGGGGGTGGTAGAAGGGATGATGAGAGATTGAAAACGCGAGAAACCTCTGAAAAAGTGTGGTGTGTTGATAGGTACGTGGTCCCTACCTTATCTAAACCTTCAAAAGAACTTAATGTCAATGTCGCCGGGTCTGCTCTTATGATAGGTATATATGTGGGTCATCAGGGAGTTACGCGAGCAGTATACCCGCTCGCAGATGACGCATCTGTACTCCTCCTGTCGCTCGGCGTGCTTGTCGGCAACGTGGCGTTTCAGGGATGCTTTGCTGCATAGCACCTTGCCGCACAGCTGGCAGGTGAACAGCTTCTTCGCTGACTGGGTGTTCAGAGAGTTCAAGGTCAGCCCCGTCATAGAGGTGAGCACTGAAACACAACAATGCACCTCATGCAGCTGCAACCCCCACACTTATACCCTATCCCATATGAAAAAAAGGGTGACGCAAGCGATAAACTTTCTCTCTGTTCACGATTCTCCTCTTTTATCCTTCTTTTTCCTCTTACTCGATCCCTCTGTACCTCTGATTCTCAATGTCTCTCCTTGCTCGTGCTCGTACGTCTCCTGAACTACGCGACAATTCAATAGCAGGTTCGCGTTTTGAAAGGGGATGGTGGTAGGAATCGTTCGTTTCTTTCTCAAGGAACCAGAGGATGCTAAACTCTGTGTCATGGTTACGTTGAATGCGCGATAAATCTCGCAATCCTTTCTTCGAGTCTCGCGGTTTACCGACCCCTTGGCCCCTCTCGTCCCGTTATTCTCGCATTCTTTTAAATTATTCACGAAGCACTAGCCGTCTGGGTAAGAAACGGTCTTTCACAACAATCGACACATCTCGCGACGATCGCGAAGCAATCTACGTTTACTCGCCCCTTCGCCCCTTCGCCCCTTCGCCCTCGTCGTACTAACCGTTCATTCGACCGTCGTGGAATTAAACGGGGCTAAGATTTGTCGGAATGAAAAAAAATAATAAAAAATACAGTCGGAAGGAGAGAAAATAGACGCGAAGCAACGGGGCACATTCGATACGGCAGCTCGGTTCTGGATAAAAGAAAAAGGGGACAACGGGCTGGGGTCGGGGGTGTGGAAACTCTTTCGACGACGTTTCAAAATGCCTGGTCGTCTTTCGGGGGAGCGAAGTAAGAACTTTCAATGCCAGTTTTTTTTCTTCGAACCGCTGCAAAACCCACCGCGAAACCAAAGGCTTCTTCAAGAGGGTTAAGACTCGTATTCGCGCGCGCGCACAGAAAACAAGTAGAATGATCCCGTTGGTCTTGTCAGTGCGTCCGTCTGCGCAACTCTATGCATTTACTTGATATGCAATTGAGACAAGAAGATAGAGAACGAACGAACGAACGAACGAACGAACGAGCAAGCGAGTGAGGGGAGGGTTAAGTAGAGAAAAGAGAGAAATAAAGGAAAGGGGTAAGGAGCAAGAGAATACGGCTGAAGAACGAAACGAAGCACGAACACGGAAACGAATTAAGCGTCGATATAAGAAAGGCGCGCAGTTCATTTGTAATGGCCGCGTGTGCTCGTTAATTAAAAAAAAAAAAAAAAAGATCCGGTCAGACGGTACGCGGCTGCTGAACGCGAACGACGTTACTACCTTATACGTGTCAGTATGTGTGTCTGCGTGTATGTGAGGTGTCCGTATAATACGGTATATCTACCCTTTTCTTTTTTTTCTTTCCTTCGCCCTTTAGCCATCGAACGCGAATGAAGGCGAGGCCAACCCCTTCGTTCAATGCCTTTGGCTGGAAAAAAAGCTTTTTATCCAATTTCTCGAGCTGCGTCTCGTTAAACTTCGGCCAAAAGAAATTGTGAACAGCCTCCGCTCTGATGAGGTCGGCCAGAGGATTTCGATGGAAGAGAAAGATCGTGGTCAGACGTATTCGTTTGTACACGTGCACGAGTATACACACAAATACACAGGTGCATACAAACCCGTTGGTACGAGCGAATAGAGGAGAATACTGGGACAATAAAGGGAAGCTTGTGAACGGGCGGATAAACGGAGATCCGGGTTGTGCAAAAATTGCGTGTATTCCTTTCTGTCCGTTTCTAAAGAAAAAATATCTATATAAACACTCCTCCAGTCATTCTACAAGAAAGGCATATGCAATATACATATGTGTATACACGTATGCTTCGTTAGGCGTCACGCGTTTGTGTGAAGCCTGGGGCAAACGTGAGGAACAAATGATAATAATAAAAAAAATGAAAAAAAAAAATTAATAGTAATAAAACGAACGAGAAGAGAAATAAAGGAGACGACGAGAAGGAAACACTGAGCATTCTGGGTGACACTTAAAGCATGCAATTCGAAGTAAACGTAATAATATGCGTGAGCCTGGCGAGCGGCGTGGCGGCTTAATCGTTCTCCGTTTTATTTTTTATTTTTTACTTTTTTATTTGCCATACTACGATTGGCCGTTGTTGAAAATGCGAGTTTTGCCTCGTATCCTTTGGTGCGATGTGCTGGAATATTATTACCAATGATATTTTCTCGTTTGCCGCACACGAAATATCCATTTAAAAAAAAGACTCGTTACTTCTTTTTCGTTTTTTGGAGGTTCAACCCTTTTCTCCTGTCGAAACGCGATCGTTCTTACTTCGATCTCCACACGACCACGCATCGTCGTCGTCGTCGTCTGTGATTTTCCAATGCGACAAAGGGCCGTTTTTACGTGCCACGTGGAAAAGAGGATCGACGACGAGAAATAAGCCCGAACGTGTACGCGCTGGAACACGCGTCGAAAGAAAGCGTGGTCGCGATTTATCGAACGATGATCGTCCGACAACACTTACCTTCCAGCTGAAAGAAAAGATA